TAGAAAAGAACTCATAATTATTCCATTTGCCATGCAAGGCATGTTTCTGATCAAATTCTCAGCTTCTTCCAAACACCCGGCTCTTCCTAATAGATCGATCATGCACCCGTAATGCTCAATTTGTGGTTCAACTCCCAACTCCACCATTTCTTTAAACCACCTCCTCCCTTCCTCCACCAAGCCACCATGGCTACAAGCAGATAACACAGCTAACATGGTTATGTCATTAGGCTTAACTCCTTCAGATCGCATCTCCATGAATACCTCCAGCGCCTTCTTGGCATGTCCATTGACTGCATATCCTTTTATCAGAGCATTCCAAGAAGCTATTTCTTTTCCTCTCATCTTGTCGTAAACTCTTCTCGCTTTTGTGACTTCTCCACATTTTGCATACATATCAATAAGTGCAGTGCAAACTTTGGTTTCTCTGTCAAGCTTTTTCCCCCTGACAAAATTATGAACCCATTCACCCAAATCCAGAGCACCCAAATCAGCAATAGCCGGCAAAACGCTTAAGATAGTAACCATGTCTGGTTCAAGTGATTTGCTTGATTGCATCTCATGAAACAAGCTCAGAGCTTCATGGGGTTGCTTATTCTTGCAGTACCCACCAATCATTGTATTCCAAGAAAATAGATTCTTATCCGGCATGACATCAAACAACGATTTAGCAGAACCAACATCACCATTGTTGCAAAAGCCATAGATCATACTCGTCCAAGAAATCACATTTCTATCGGGCATCTCAGAAAACAAACTGCGAGCCGAACTCATATCACCCGACTTGACATAACCATCAATCATGGCATTATATATTACAGTGTCCTTTGCGTCGGGCATTTCGTCAAAAAGCTTCCGCGCATTAATCATATCCCCGGACCTCGCATACCCACAGATGAGAGCGGTCCACGAAACTTGGCTTCTTTCATGCATTTCGTCGAACACTTTCCTTGCCATGATCGTTTTTCCAAGCTTCACATACATGTCAACCAAAGCCGTTGAAACATACAAATCCAAGCAAAACCCAGATTTTATAACATGATCATGTATCTCTAAACTTTCCCAAGCAGCAAGACTCACACCACAAGAGTTTGCCACCACAGTAAACGTAAAACTATCAGGAAAAAACTGTGTATTCGCTCTAAGATCTCGATATAATGTGAATAACTCAGAAAATTGGCGCGTCGTCAGGTAGGCTTTGATCATGGAGTTACAGAGAAAGGTGTCGTCTCTTTGAGACCTATGATCGAAGACCCGACGGGCGTAGATTATACCGGGAAGAGGCTCAGATTTGCCGGCGACGGAGGTGACGGAAGTGCAGGCCACAAGGAATCTGGTTAAGAGGTTAACATTGGCTTCAATGGCGTTTCTAAGCATGAAAGCGTGGATTTGCAGGAGAGAGGTTCTTGTGTTGATTGTTTGGAGAAGAGCGAGACATTTTCTTTCTATTGGGCGCCAAATCCATTGTTGTTGAGCCCCTGACATGGCAGCTACATACACTTTCTCTCGCCTGTAAATGGTGATCATTGAATAAAATGACACCTTTTTAATTTACTATTACTTTTTCACTATACATTATGTTACTATATGAGTTATTATTATTTTTTATTAATTAATTTTAACATAGTTTCAAAATTCATTAATATTTGGTCCGATTAAAATTTAAAAAAAAATAATAATTTATCATATGTAAATGACATCTATTGATACATGATTTGCAGTTAATGTAAAGAATTATTATTTGAAAATTCTTGTCTTGAGTAACT